AGGTCAGGGGGGGGGCGGCGTTGGGCGGGTCCCGGTGGAGGGGAGGGGAGGGGGTGCTAGCTGAGGCGTGAGGAAACGGGGGCCGCCTCCTAGCCCGGCACCAGCCGCTTCGCCCCTGCAGCGCTTGACGCCGCGAGAGCTGCTTTAACGTTTGCTGCGCCTGTGCCCCTCCCCCCCACTCCGGGGCTTTGCCCGGGGCCCCCCCCCCGTGCTCGCTGTCCACGCGCCGTCCCGCGGAGGTGACCGTTGCTCTGTGTGCGCAGGAGAAGCGGATTGCGCGTGTCACCTACCAGTGGTACCTGATGGAGCGAGACAGGCGCCTCTCCGGGGTTAACGAGTATTTCCGGACCAAGGTAAATCCCTTCCCGCGCCCCCCCACTCCGGGGCTTTGCCCGGGGCCCCCCCCCCGTGCTCGCTGTCCACGCGCCGTCCCGCGGAGGTGACCGTTGCTCTGTGTGCGCAGGAGAAGCGGATTGCGCGTGTCACCTACCAGTGGTACCTGATGGAGCGAGACAGGCGCCTCTCCGGGGTTAACGAGTATTTCCGGACCAAGGTAAATCCCTTCCCGCGCGGCGCTATAGCTACAAAGCAGGCTCCTCACAAGTCACCCAACCGGGAGAGGAAAACGACAGCTGTAGGGCTCCGCATTGAGCCTTTGTTACGGTGTGAGCTGAGCGAGACCAACCACGGGCAACCTAGACTGCAGAGAGGCCGCATCGGTGGCCCTCCAGCTTGCTGGGTTGCCAGATTGTCATAGGGCGGGCTTGCTGTTTGCACTTGCAGGTCCGGAATTTGCAGGGGGTGCTGATTTGAGTTGGAACGGCGCTTTGATTGGATGGAGGGGAGTGCCCTGCTCTCCCTCCATGTTGTGTGCAATAAGCATGCACCTCCCCTCACGTGCCCTTGCTTTATGTGCATATCATTTTAGCAATAGCAAGTAGGAAAAAAAACTATGTGACTGGAAACCAGCAGAATCTGGTAATGGAAAATAAAATGTCTCACAGGTCATACATAGGGCCGCAGATTGCCCACCATTGTATTAGACTTTTGGATGGGTTCTCCTCTCTGTTACTTTAGTCTGAAGTCACCAGTCCTGATGATAACTGAGGGTAGAACTCAGCCTGCTAACTGGAGCATAAGTCAAGTGCTTATTTTTAAATTTCAAATTAGTCGTACAACTAATCAATGGACTGGCTTGTTTTGGGGACTTCAGATATGGATGTGATCTTTGCAAACCCCTAAGCCTCTTTTAGCATTAATTTCTTTTCATCTTCACTTGATCAGTGCATTCTTGCTTCTGTTAACACTGCTGTGTAGATGTACCCTTAATATTTCAGAATAACTGACGTCTACACTACAAGCCTTTATTTTGAAATAATGTCATGCTAGAGGACTTCTTACTCCAACTCATGGTAACCCTCATTTTCACTAGGAGTAAGGGAAGTCAAAGGGAAAGTGTTCTTCCTTTGACTTCCTACTGTGTAGATAGCGCCAAAAGCCGAGTTAAGTTATTTCTACTTCAGCTACATCAATTGCTTAGCTTAAGTTGTGTAGGTTAATTCGACTTCAGCCCTGCTGTGTAGACATGCCCTTAGAGATGACCTGCAAGGGGCTTTAAGAGCCTATATTTGTTGCTTTAACTTAACAAGAAAGGTTGTAATACTTTATTAGAAGTGTTGATCTTTTTTATGTTTCTGGGGATGTGTACTATGAGCTATTACATTAGCAGAAGGGATTGGAATATTTAATTTGTTACTTCCATTCCAAAAGCCCTGTTTAGTCACTGAAGTGAAATAGGGATTAATAAAAACAGGTTAAATTTCTTTTCCTATGAATTGCTCAACTTTTCATTATCTACTAAAGTAATGTATTAGCACTGGTTCTGAGGTTAGCATAGTGTTCCTGAGCAGACAAAACTTAAATGTTAGCACAAGGGGGAGGTGTGCATGTGTGTGTGAATTTTTTTAAAAACCTTTTCAAATCACCTTTAGCCATAATAAATAGGGATGGTGTAATTTGCAAGAGGCATTCTTAATGAAATGGGTCTCGTCCCTTTGTAATTTCTATGATGCTATCACATTGGTTTGCCTAGTATTATTCCCATCCTTTGTGTTTTAGTGATCCCCTTCCCCCACTTAAAAAATATCATGTTTGAAAAAACATGTGAACTTATTTCGCTGAGGAATGTATAGTTAGAAAAAGAGTAGTAAATTGATTTGTACTTTCTGAGACTTGTATACAGACTTGTATTGAGTGTGTTATTTGTTCTGTATGGATAATTAATGTTTCGCATATTTTTCAGGGATTGGAGAACATTGACTAAGAAGCAGTTCACTGAGTGAAGAGTCCTAGTTCCTGTTCAAAGCAGTTTGGCTGCAGTAAACATGCATTTATATTTATGCAATGTGTTATATGTTGCACATAAACCTACACAGTGAAAGTGGGTCTCTGCACTTGTTTTATTGGTATAACTTTTAGACGTGTATACTGGAAATAAAGTTGCCCGTAAATATTCTGTAATCAAACATACAAAAAGGGATACAGCAGAGTTAGGCAATTACCCAGCATTATAAATGTGCTTTCAATTAAGAAACTTGCAACAAAAGTTAGCGGAGTGACAAGTGTCAAAGTTAGACGCAGGACTCACGATTTTCGTAGACCACTCTGTTTTATTAGCAAAGCGCTTTGCTAATACATCCAGAAAGAGTGAGCCCTCATAGAAACCCACGTCATCTTATTTATATAGATAAAAGAGGTGAGCAGACCAAGGATTGAAAAAGGGCATGAACTGACAAGGTTACCTGGGGTCAGTCAAATACCTCATTTCCTTATTAACTCTTACCAATCTCCTGTTAATGTCCCACTATCACCCTTAAGTGGAACCATTGTCCTCTGCCTTAACATCTTCCTTCCTGCTTGCACACAAACAACTTTACCTTAACATCTCTCTTCCTGCTAAAGGAACAAACATTTCTTTAATTCATTCTACTTTATAATTCAGTCTACTTTCACACAAGGAAATAAATATCTTATTTATATACCTGTTATTTTCAGTAAGCTGTGTAACTGCAGATAAACTAAGACTACTAAGCTGCTCTAAATAGCAGAAATAACCATTTATTGAATAGGTTGTGTGCACCCTCATGATATTAGCTTGCAATGAGCAATGCTAAGCCTTAATGTCGTCTTTGTTACAAAGCTGTTATAACATGACAGCAGGAGATGATGCTTTTAAAGGGAACATTACCCTTCTCAAAACTGAGAGGTTGCAAAGAGTAGTAGCAATATAGGGATTACTTAATGAAATGACCTGCCTTTTGAGAAATTTGAGTGTCTCTCTGCTTCTTACTGTTAATGTATCATTAGCTTGAACCAGAAGTGAATACAGTGCCTATTTAGATAGGATAAAATAACTGAGGAATAATGATATTATAGCAGCAAGTCATTGCCTGTTAATTCTATAGATGTTTTGTACTAGATGTTGAACCTCTAAAATCCAGGACACTCTGGTCTGGCAAAATCTGTGGCTGGCAGGGAGTGCGGGGCTGGTCAGCATAGTGGGGAGCCTTGATCTCCCCTGGTACAGCAGCTCCGTGGTTCAGGACTGCTCAGGTCCTGAGGGTGCTGGACCAGAGATGCCCTAGCTGTACTCATTGTATTAATACAATAATATTGATACAGTGTCCGGATATATCATTCCTGATACAAAGTAAAAGTGGTGATCTTGTATATGTTCTAATTTAGAATGGAGTTGAAGTCATGGCACTAATTTTTTTTTCAAATCAATTTTAGCTGCTCTCTCATTGCCTTTGTGTTACACATCTTTAGTCTTAGTCTACACACACATCAAATAACATTAAAAGTGCACTGGTTAGGGTTGTGAGGGTTCTACCCCCTAGAGAGGACATTGTTATATGGGTATAATATTCCTGTAGGAAGATGTACCAGCATACCTGCATAGTAGAGGGTTGTATTACTTTAACTATTATGGTATAGTTTAAAAACCAGTATAACTTGTGTATAAACAATGGTCTTAGGCTTCCGGAATTCACTTCATGGCAGAATCAAATGCAGTGATTGTATATGGGGTCTGTATTTGTTCCTTATCCATTGACTAGATCCTCTTAAACTCCAACACTTAATATAAGAAGCTTGGCAAAAGCAGTAAGTGGAAAGGCACCAGTGTTACAATAGTTATTGTCCATGTAAACTTCCCAGCAGCACACGTAGCTTTAGAATCTGTAGTTTAAAAAACAAAATGGATGTTATCTTCAATTTAAAGTTAGTTTTTATTATACAATTAAGGAAACATTGATAATAGTGTGGTCATCAGTTCTTCTCCCCCTTTAATTCTGTTTCAACAACTGTGAAAAAGCAACAGTAGTTGTCATTTGTTCCATTCATATTCGCAATTAGTAGTGATGCCTAATCATCTTTGTAGTTTTTCAGGCAACCAACATCTGTGGATTAACAGGCTAAGTGGAGCTGATATATGGAAGCAGTGACCAGGACATTAATGAACTTCTAAGAAACTTTTCAAACTGTACTTTGCATTTACAGCATGTTTTATGCAAAGAATAATATCTATCACTTAAGATTAGAGGGAAAAACCAAAGCACAGAGAGGCCTTGTGCTGTGCCTCCACTCCCACAATCAGTCGCAAAGTGGAAAATGTAGCACGGTGAGACAAGTGCCTAGTTTGTGCTCTAGCTATTTTGCACTATAATCCTGATAATCTTAAGTATTAATAACCTCATTATTAATCTGACAGCTATATAAAATGCCTTGCTCACTCTGCTTCCTCACTCCTTGTCTATTCTGTGTTGCAGGCTTTCAAAGGGTACTGTTACCTTGTTTTGTTACTGCTAACTTGAGACATTTTGTCTCTTGCTTTTGAATATCTTTGAATATTTATGTTGGTTTTAAAATATAATGTTCCTGTGTCAGGAAAGTCACGAGTCATACTAGAACAGATTAAATAAATTTCCAAAAAGCGTTCTTGCTATTAAATCAAGCATCTACTGATGGAATGAATACAACAAAGACAGCTAATTTTTTGGATGAGAGACAATGTCAAATTTAGATACTACATATTAGGGATGTTAGTGTGTAGTTAACAAGATTAACCAATACAACTGGGTTTAATGGTTAATCCTAACTACATGTGCATACACCCCCCCCTTGCTGCCCTGTGGGGCTGCCTCCCCTTCCCCCCTCCATGCTGCTGCCTCTGATAGAGGTGCGGGGTGGGGGAGAACAGGCAGGAGCTGGTATGCATGAGGAGCTTTTCCCTCCCCTCCCCTCTCCTCCCCTCCACCTGTAAATGCGTGCTAACCTCCCTACTACCTATGCTGTTTGTGTCAAAGCACATCAACTAGACACTGATGTTTTGGTGAATTACTTAGGCTTGATGCTTAGCATAGTGGAGATAATCTTGAGTCCCCTTCACTGAGTATTTGAATTAATTATGATTTGTTGTTTCAGAGCTTTGTCTTTGCCAGTTGAAAGGAGATGTTCCATCCCTCAAACTATGCAATTTCTCTGTACAATCAGCATTTAAGACTAGTAGAGACCATTAGATAATCTGGTCTGACCTGTATATCATAGGCCATTATCACCTCCCACCTTTATGCTAAACTCAAATTAATGACCTATGCAGTTTTTTTAGTCAGATTTTTCCATAAAGTAAATCCTTTATTATATTAAGCCTACACAAGCGGACTTAGCATTGTATAGCAAACTAGACAAGATCTTACCTGTGCACCTTACAACACGAATTGCATAGGGAAACCTAAAGGAAGGTTGTGTTGTAATGCATTTTCTTTCTTTCTCGCTTTGAATAAGGGCTAGGTGATGGCATTTTCATTACAATGTGTTAATACTGGTGGGCCTCAGGGTGAATATATCTTAGGAAGAGAAGGCGAAGGCTAAAGAGTGATATTGACAAAGCGCATGATGATAGATGGGTGGGAGAAGGTAGGTAGGACTATGAAGTGATGATTAGTTTCTTATGATGCTGCAGAGGCAAAATGATGTCATTGTTAGTACCATTTCTCATATGTAAGGTAAGAGCAACTCTTGACTGCACCCTAAAGCCCTGGAATAATGACCCCTAAGCAAGTTGCAGTGACACATTCTAAAATACCGGCCTTCAACTTGTTCTTACTAATGAGCAATCACCTTAAAGGAGCTTATGTTTTTGTATTGAGGGGGAAGTGACAGTATTTTGCTTCCTTTTAGTATTGAGTCAAGAACTCAAAGCACTTCACAAACATTAATGGATCAAGCCCCAGCACCTGTGTAAGGAGGGAATGGCCTATCCTTGTATTACTGATGGTGACCTTGAGGCACATTTCACATGAATTACCCATTGATTCAGTTACAGATCCAGAAACCAAATCAAGGAGGGTCTTACTCCCACCCTCCACCTGTTGCTTGAATAGCCATCTAATGTTGGAGCCACTTTAGCAGGCAACTGTTCCTGTGTAGTTTGTATCCTTACTGCTAGCAATTGACACGTTCTGAGACGAGCATGCTGTCTTTTGCAAGAGGATAACACTAACAAAGAACATATGAAAATTGTGATTTAGGTGAGTAGCTAGACTTAGGATTCGTTCTGCATTAATTTCCTAGCTAAGATTTCAAGCAATATGTTGAACATGGTTCTGCTTTCAGATTTGAGCAGTTGCAGAGATTAAGACTTCATATAATTAACATTGAATGGGATATAGTGGCTCTTTTTCCTATGAGCTGTGCAACAGTATTCAAGGCAACCTTCACTATAGTGTTATTTTGAGGCATTATTTGGCTCTTGACATAGTTAAAGGTTTTCTTATTAGTTGAATTGAGAGAAAGAGAGTCTCCCTAGAGAAGAGCCAAACCAGAAATACACTCTTCTGATAACTTGGATATTTGTATACATAAATTCCTGTTGGTGCAAATTACTCTTCTGTACCTTCCCAGATGCAGGAGTCAGCTCTTACAGTAACTAGTCTGTTTTCCCTTTTCTGTGCAAGATTCCCATTAGTAGCAGTGGCTAATAGTTTAATACATAACACTTGATTCATATCTTCACCTGAGACCTTGTATATTTTATATAGTTCTGTGCACCTTGTTAATAGAGAGAGATTGTCAGACTGGAAGGTGTTCAGAGAAGAGCATCAAAGATTATTAGTGGGCTGGAACAAATGATTTAGAAGAATGGACTAAGAGCTACATATATAAATTCCATCGTAGTGAACTGCACTGAAAGCTTATGTGATGAAGAAAAGTATTTTCAAAGCAAACTCCATACAAAATACTACCCTCTTTATTTCTGATACAGCATCCTCTGACTCTTCGCTTGTTGCATCTAATTTTCATTTGCATTAGTATCAGAATCCACTGACTTAAATTGGAATTAAAAAATCATTACTCACCTCTCCACATCACTTTGGATTTGACACCAAGCCAGTAAATTTCACGAGACTGTGCTACAGTTGCTCTGTTCAAAAGGGAAAAAAAAACCCAACATAATATGGTTATAAAATGGGAGGATGTCCCCTTCACACCCATGAAGACAGTCCAATACCTTACTGTAGCTGTTCTGAGATGCTGCTTTGCTCATAAAATTAGCAAATGGTAATGTAAGCCTAATCTCATGGAAAAATGAATCCACCTTTTCCAGCACACAGAAAAATTAGTTGTGACTGGTTGATGACTTCCCAATGGAAAATCCTTCCACCCCCCCAGTAAGGATCAAAATACTGTTCCTGCAGTGTCCTCTAGCAGCATAGCAACACTTCTGCTATAGTATCATTTGCAATCTTAATAGTGTGAAGCAGAGCTCATTAGTTTTGTGCAGCTTCCCCCCGACAGATGAATTCTTCTGCTGATTGAGTCCCTAATGTATTAAGGGTAAAATTTTGAGAAGTGGCTTAGAAGCACAAGACCCTGAAAGTCAATGGGGATTATGCCCTGAGAGCACTTTGCTGTTTTTGAAAATCCTGCTGTATATTAAACTGAACCTTTTATGACTAATGTATAGATAGAGAAAAGAGAAGAACATATATTGGAGATGTCCATTGGAGGACTTCATTTAAAAGGGAATGGTCTCATAAAGCTGCTTACATGAATGTAATGACTGGGAGGCAGCCAGAGTTCGGGGGCAGCCAGGTATAAGTAGAGAGGCTTGTTTTTAACTCAGTGTTCGAATGAGTAATTGCACCTTTTGGGTTTCCAGAGCACTGCAAAGAAAAGAATATCAAATCTATGTATTAACTGTGTAATTATTAATAGAGTATCTGTCTCTCTCACTCAGTCATTAGTCCCCAAACTGTGGAGTACACCCCCTAGGGTGGCCTTGAAAATTTTGGAGGGGGTGTGGCAGGGCCTGGCCCAGCTGCTATGAGGTGCTGGGATGGAATGTCATCCAGCCCCATGCTGGCCTCAGCCTTGTCCCCTGCTTAAGGCCCTGGCTTTAGCTTCCATTGGGGCTTCCACTTTCAGCCCTGTTCCCAGTGGGGCATGGACAGATTAGAGTAAGAGAAGGTCACAACATGAAAAGTGTGGGGACCACCACACTAGGGGCATGTACAAGCAATCTGGAAATAAATCCCCTCAGTTTCCATGTCAATTATAACTTCCCCTCCCATTCCCAGAAGCCTGGGTAACGGACACCCCTATGCAACATGCCGCGATCCAGCCAAATGCTTCCACCCTGCTCAAGCTCTTCTGATGTGTCAGAACATAAGTACTGGCCCCTCCATTTTCCACTATGAGGTATCCAGAGAGCTGTGATATGAATAGGGACTAGTGGAGGAGGAAATCCAAGTCCTGCAAAGCTGTGGATTCTGCCCAGCTGCCTGGAGGAAATCTCATCTATACCCAGCAGGGCCAATAACTGGGCTGTATGGACTGACGGTCAGTGGTTGCACTCAGTTGCAGTGTATGCTAGAAGAGTAAATGGTAACTCAGGCTGCATAAGGGAGGAGAGCAGGGCATGCTGCTTTTCTAGGGATCCAATTCAGCTCATGTCTCCAGCTACCTTTGCTGTTGTATGTTATTTCTCTTGCTACTTTTAATTTCACAGTATCTATCATATAATGGAGATTGCCTATCTCCTAGAGCTGGAAGGGACCTTGAAAGGTCATTGAGTCCAGTCCCCTGCCTTCACAGCAGGACTAAGTACCATCCCTGACAAATTTTTACCCCAAATGGCCTCCACAAGGATTGAACTCACAACCCTGGGTTTAGCAGGCCAATGCTCAAACCACTGAGCTGTTCCTGGCCTTATCATGCCATTAGGCTACATAAAGGTGAGAAATGAGATGCTCCAAGCTTACCTGTAAGAACTTAGTGTTATTGGCAGGATTCTGCCAACTGCCGAGTGCAGCAGTGGAGCCAAAGGTGCGAGCTTCCAGCAACAAGCCTCTGTATCCTGGCCCTACAATCTGAACTGGAAGAGAGTATACACATCTATCACGTTACTCATGCATAGCTGGGACTGGCTTCTCAGATGGTCACTAGCATGTATTAACTCCAAAGATACACCAAATGTATCTTTGCACATCAGCTGTGTCTGCAAAAATAGCCCAGTGATTACATGCCAGCCTGGGTCTCAGCTGGTTCAATTCCCTCTTTGCCACTGATTTCGTGTGGCACCCTGGGTTTGTCATTTAGTCCCTCTGTGCCTTGGTTTTTTCCAACTGCAAAATGGGGATGATAACAGCTCTCTGTGTTACAGGGATCTGAAAGGAGGGTGAGGTGCTCTTTTACTGTTGTTTCTGGGGCAATGTAAGTACCACAGGGATCAAATGAAAAAGGCTTTAGATAAAATTCTTCCTTCGGGTAATTGGTTGCAGTTCCCATTGAGATTATAAGCAGGGTTAGGGACAGGGAGCTTTGTTTTACTTGTTCTAAATGATACTCCTGGGAAGTGTTCCCTCTAATTTTTCCATCCATGTGCACCAAGGCATGTGTGGACATATATCACCAGTAGAAACACATGCTGGCAGGTGTGGTGGTTCTGTTATTCAGCTGGGTGGCATTTGAATCTCTCCTGAGTGGCTACCCATGCACTCAGCTTAGAGGGAATATTGCTCCTGCGGTTTCTAAGCAGCCACCTAAGGCTTCCTCCTGGACTTGAACAGCAACACATTCCATCTCCAGGAGTCAGCCAGGATGTAAAAGGAGACAGGACTTGAATGCTCTGGGCAGTTATGGTCACCTCTTCTCAAAAAATACATTAGAATTGAAAACAGTTCAGAAAAGGGTGATGAAAACATCAAAAGTATGGGAGAGCTTCCAGAAAAGCAATTAAACTGGGAATGGTTCAACTTCTGAAAGAGATGACTAAAGAGAATTGGGATATGATAAAGCCTAAACAATCAGAAATGGTGTGGAGAAAGTGAATGAGGAAGTGGTATGCACGTAAGACCTAGGGGGCACCTGGTGAAATGTATAGTAAGCAGATTTAAAACAAATAAAAGGAAGCTCTTCTTCCTTCAATGCACAGTCAACTTGTGGCATTTGTTGGCAGGGGATGTTGTGAGGGTGAAAGTGCAATTAGGTTCAGAAAATAGGTAAATTCCTGCAAAATTGGTCCACCAGTGGCTACTAGCCAAGATGGTTGGGGGTACTATCCATGCTCTCTGGGTATCCCTAAACCTCTGATTACCAGAAACTGGGGCTGAATGACAGGAGGGATCAGGGTGTCCCTACCTATACACAAAACATGCAGCCATGTGGGGCACCAAATTGCACCAAATTTCATGCTGCCCAATGCAGCTGTGTGCACGGTCCCCATCCCCCAGCTGCCTCCCCGGCTGAGTGACAGTGCAGTGCCCCCCCATCCCCTGGCTGCCCCCTCAGAAGTCATTGCCCAGCCCATGCTCACCAAGTGGCAGTGAGCAATACTCATGGGGCCAGAGGACTCAGAGCAGGGGGCAGCTGCACAGCAGGCAGATAGAGAGTATTGGCACTTGCCCCTTAAAAGTGCCGCTTCTCTCTGGCTGGCTGCATGACTGCCCACTGCTCCTCCGGCCCATGCCTCACTGCCGGCTCTACTCCAGCCACGTCTCCTGGACCGGACAGGCCAGACACCATTGCAGTAAATGGTGTCAGATCCAGGAGAATCACGAACTCCTTTCCCCACTTTGTTTCAGCCCCCTCTTTGTACAGAGCAGCCACTTGGAGGGGCGGGGGAGAGTGCTGGTGCTGGGCTGTGTAGGGCACCAACACTGCTAAGAACATCCCCTCCCCCCTGAATTGCCCTGTTCTGTTCATTCCCTCTGACACATTTGGCACTAACCAGATACTGGGTTAAATGGACCATCGGTCGAAACCAGTGTGGCCATTATGTTCTAGGACCAAGGGTTACAAAGAACCCGAAAAGGAATGGACTAGGGAGAAAAGAGAAGAGAGGAAGTCTGGGCCTTTGGAAAAGGAGGACAGAGAGGGTCAGATGGTAGCCAGAGAGGCAAAGAAGACAGACATGAGAGACATAATGGGATTGAAGAAGACACTGCACTGTATGCTAAGCAAGTAACCAGGAACGAGTCAGCCGGGGAAAGGATGGTCTTTTTACTAGTATCTAGGACAGGGAGTCAGGACTCCTGGCTTCTGTTCCCAAAGCTGACAATTATTCTCTTAAGGGATGTGGGAAAGTCTTCTCTCTTCTCTAGCCTCAGTTACGCTTCTGATTACCAAGTCATTTCACATGGGTCAGCAAGGAACTAGCAGTCGTTAATTTCTGCTTACTGCCTCCCTTGGTGTAAAACAAATCTCTGAACTATTGGTGTTATCTATCTGGTACCTGTTAACATCCAGTACTCATTTCATAGTAATAGAAATGTAGCCGTGTTAGTCTGGGGTAGCTGAAGCAAAATGCAGGACTAGGTAGCACTTTAAAGACTAACAAGATGGTTTATTAGATGATGAGCTTTCGTGGGCCAGACCCACTTCCTCAGATCAAATAGTGGAAGAAAATAGTCACAGCCATATATACCAAAGGATACAATTAAAAAAAATGAACACATATGAAAAGGACAAGTCACATTCCAGACACTTCACAGATCACAAATCACAATTCACAGACACTTACCTTCCTTCCTCCCCCCCCTCCCTGCATCCCCCTCCTGTTCTGAAATGTGATTTGTCCTTTTCATATGTGTTCATTTTTTTTAATTGTATCCTTTGGTATATATGGTTGTGACTATTTTCTTCCACTATTTGATCTGAGGAAGTGGGTCTGGCCCACGAAAGCTCATCATCTAATAAACCATCTTGTTAGTCTTTAAAGTGCTACCTAGTCCTGCATTTTACTCATTTCATGGCATTGACTCAATCCTGCCAGATGCTGAACTGATCCTATGAGAGGCTAACCTTCATCTGATTCATCACTATATTATCAGCGTCACTATAATAGAATGCAGTTAGTTTGCACACCCTGAAAACGGCGGTAACATGGTTAGTTGTTGGGCATACAGACAAGGCAGATGTTAAGATAATTTGTACAGTGTTTGTAAGATCAGGTTCTCCTCTGCAAGTAGTTCTCAGATTATTTCTATTGCTCTTCTTCTGCTAATCTGCACACAGTGGTTTTCATTCATTTCACTGAACAGAAGTTTTTCTATACACATTTTAGGGAGAAAATATGGAGAAAAAGAGAAACTCGCTAATAATACTGCTCCTTTTACACAGAAAACACACCGAATTCAAACAACTATGAAGAAATCGTATATTTATGCAAATTTTTCAATCCAGTTAAGAAGTTGGAACTTAATTACCATTAATCATCTGCCTGTTCACGAAAGAAGGTGCATCAATCTGGACCTCATAGGGGGCTGGGCTTGGCTGGGGATGGACCCCCATATGCACAGGCATCATATTCTCACAGGCTGTTGCTGGGGCTCCTGTTGGAAAAGCAACACATGGACTAATAATATTCCAAAAGATGATGTAGCCAAGGAGAAGTGAAGTATTCCAGTAAGCCATGACTGGGGTTGCCTGTCCTTTGAATCAACAATAAATCCTCTCTGATTGCAGACACATTTAACACAGAGGAAAGAGGAGGAAGGCTCTACTGAGTCACTTACCCTCAACAAATTAATTTTCTAGCATGAGGGTTTGAATGCCTTTTGTGCACCCCCTCTCTGAATGAGGGCTGTGTTCTGTGATTTCTAGCTATTTGCTATCTGCATAAGGTACTCTTGGGGGAATTCTGCACCCAAAAATGCAAAATTCTGCATATTTGTCAAAATAATTCAGTATAATCATACTACAGGCAGTCCCCGGGTTACGTACAAGATAGGGACTGTAGGTTTGTTCTTAAGTTGAATCCGTATGTAAGTCGGAACTGGCGCCCAGATTCAGCCGCTGCTGAAACTGATCAATTTCAACCGCGGCTGAATCTGGACGCCAGTTCTGACTTACATACAGATTCAACTTAAGAACCCCAGGCATCCCCAAGTCAGCTGTTGCTGAAACTGATCAGTGGCTGATTCCAGGAAGCCCGGGGCAGGGGCTTCCTGTAGTCAGCCAGTATGTAAGTCGGAACTGGCGCCCAGATTCAGCCGCTGCTGAAACTGATCAATTTCAACCGCGGCTGAATCTGGACGCCAGTTCTGACTTACATACAGATTCAACTTAAGAACCCCAGGCATCCCCAAGTCAGCTGTTGCTGAAACTGATCAGTGGCTGATTCCAGGAAGCCCGGGGCAGGGGCTTCCTGTAGTCAGCCAC